GTAAAAAAATCAACACCACGTGGTTACTTATAACGAGAACATAACTTATTTACTTTATTAATTGTTACGTAATATAGAGAAATAATTTTAAAGCTGCGAAAAATAATTATATTTTGACAGAAAATATCTTATTGCCGGTCCTTGTAACGAACCGTGCATCCTATAATGTAGTGATTTACTTCTAACTAATGTAGATGCAGTCTGTGACATGACAAATCCAGAGGGTGGTGTAGTTGCTGTTCCTCACGCGGCGGTTCGGTATGCTCTGTTATGGAAAGGGATCTATGTCGCCTTTACCAATTTGGTAATGGACTCTTACGCCTTTTTTCCATAATCATTAAGAAGCCTTCGAAAGGAATATAGGTGCCAGTTCGTAGGGGAGTAAAACAGAAAGATCCTTTGTTCCCCCTCCTTTTTCATCTCATCATGGAGATTCTGCTTGAGGACTTGGAAAACATGTCAGGATACACGCTATTGGTAGGAGTGTTTCCGTGTTAGCATTTGCTGACGATCTGCTACTTTTAACAAAATGTGCTCGAGGAGTTCAAGAATTGGTTGATATTGTGGTGGAATATCTTGCGGCCCTCAGACTGACATTGTCCGTTGCGAAATGTTCATTATTTCAAATTACAACCTTTGAACAATCCTGGTTCATTGAGCACCCCTGTCTGTAAAAACTGGAGGAGAGCATTTCTTTCGTTAGTAATGATTAGAGGAATTTACTTATCTGCAATGAAATAACATACCTGAGAGGAACAACTCTCTCTGGAACGGCTTTCCATCTAAAGCATTCATATCGTGTCGCGGCTTTCGAAAGCGCATTTACAAACCACACAGACGTTGGCATTATTTCATACCTACAAAATGCCTCATTACCTTTAACAATTGGTGTTATCCATGCCATTTATGCCTATTTTTGGGGGAAGCAGATTGTCAAATCAGAGTGGCAGTCAAACAGTGCCTACATCTGCATACGAGTACTGCAGATGGCTTATTCTATCTGGCCAAGAGTGATGGCTGCGGATCGCCCAACACGTTCCTAGATTGCGCTGAACCTAGGATTATCATTTCAAAAACCTTCAGATCTTACTCGCAGATGGTTGAGATCTAGTAATACAATGTTTTATTGTTTATAAATTAGTACGTAGGTACGTAGTTTTGTGAGAAAGTAAAAGCAACTTAGTAGATTATCTGCTTAATCCTGGCTGAAGAAACTAAATATATGGTTTCTGAATCAAAGGTGGTTTCTGAATAAAAGCTACGAAAGGGCTAAGCGATTAGATAATATGTTTATAATATTTTTAAGTGAATAATCCGTTATTAAAGATGTAGCAGTCAACTTGAGTTCTAGAGTTGAGAAATGTTTTAATCAAAGTAAGCGTGATAAGTTTTGCTTGTAATTTAAGTCAGAAGTTATTCGTTAAATAAACCTTCATATCTTAAATTTACACATACATAACATAGCTTCTTGTCTAGGGAGGACATTAACAAGACGTGTGTGTGCATGACCTGGTGAATGCAGAAACCTTGTTTTATGAAGATAAGACAGCACTATATATCGTGAATTTCAGTAACGGTTTTTTCTGTTTTACTGACGGCTCCTTACCTGCTGGAAAAGAGAGTGCATAACATGCTGGAGGTGAAATTCATTCCAGAAATGATACGAAGTATAATACTGTCAACTTTGGTTATCGCTTAATATAGATGTGTGGTTGTGGAATTGTGTATTTCAAGTGATATGCCATAGTATATACAGAGTTGTTCATGGTCCATTCAGATCTTTAATTGTCTGTTCAAAAGTTGATGATTTATACAGGATGATATTTATACAGGATGATTTATACAGCTTTTAAAACTAGTTAGTGAAATGTATTCTTCCAACAACCACAAGGGCTGGAGTGTGAGGGGTTGTGGAAGGGTCTAAGTATGAGTCCGGTACATGTAGTAAGATATATGGATAGTTTTCGCGAGTGATTTACATTGTTCGAATACTGTCTCTACAACGAATGTTAGAAGAATTGATACAATTCGTGTGGAAAAAATGGGAACGTGTTTGGGTGAGAATTTAGTCATGTATGTAAATCTGCATGACATAAATTCTGAATTTCAAAGAAACAGTGATGTTTTCTTTCAATGTGTTCCTAATTAAGCGTGCAAAATATTAAATTCTCACAAAGTTATGCATTTAAAAATTTAAAAAGAAAGTTTTAAAGAGTATGTTGCTTGCATTTTATCTATATAAATACATTCATATATGAACATTGTCCTTTGATGGAATGAGAAGAATGAAAGGGAGTATTATGGTACAAATACAGGTTTGCCAATGTTTGAGTAAAGAGTATAAATTGTAGGACTTAGTCGCCGATTATTTCCCCCAATTCAGTTTCGCATCAATGTGTACCAAAAAATTGCTTTCGAACTGAAAATAATGAAAATCATTTCTTAATAATTAAAAACCTAATCAATACCTGTTACAGTACATGAAGTAATTCTGGGTATATCATATATCTTTGGGTTTTCATCTGCTGTTCATTTAGGAACTTCATGTGATTTTGAATATATCATCTTAATACAAGTGAAACCTACTACCAAAAACTGTTCTGAGATAAATCAAGTTGAAATACATTGAGATTTTTTTCAATGCCTTTTTGAAGATTACATATGTATCTTGTAACATGCTTTAATATCCAATATAATTTTTGAAAATAAAGTGGAAAAAATAAGGGTTAAATGTAAAATATTCCTGTACGTGTTCACAATAAATTACAAAATCCCAAATCTCGACTCCAAAGATGTTGCTAATCGAAAGAGCATATGAGAATTAGTATTGTATATAATTCCAAGAACATGACAATGCGCATGGTGATTTCTTCTGCACTCATGTGATTAGTATTGTAGTATATTATAGGTGTTAGCGATATTCTAATTTATGTATTTTTCATAATGTTGTTGAGCAAGTAACTTATCCAAAATGTGTAATGCATGAAAATCTGAAAAAAAATTGCATTTTTAAGGATTACGATTTCATCGTTTTTAATCTTAAATGATTTTTAATCTTAAGAGATTATTAAGGTTTCACTTTTAATGTGCACATGATGTAATATTGTAAGATAAGTGGTTTAATTTGGTTACATTAATTGTTTCACAGCAGTGATTTTATGAGTAAAATTAGTTTCACATGGGACAGTGTATATCCTGTTATTCCAAATAACAGGATCTCTTTGATTATATTTATATTATATTGGTATATACACATTTTTAATTAAAAATTTTAAGAAAGTTAATTTTAGAGCACTAACAGACTTTTAAAAGATTCAAATCTGTTCATTTGTGCTCTATTGTTCTATTTTATACCAGCAATCAATAACTTATGTAAAATTATGTAATATAAATTCTATTAATAAGTAAACGTATTTAAAGGGAGTAATTTTAAACGCACAAATTTATATGTTGTGTAGCTTAATTCTAGTAGTAGATGAATTGCTTGGTGAAATTGTTTTTGTGGATGAGATTGTTCTAATGAATGTTTCGTATTCATTTATAAAAATTATCAATAATTTTCATTTTATTGAAAGGCATATGTTACAGTTTTGATTACGTGAAATTTAACAATCTTGAATTGAAGGCTGGCATGGTGTTTTGATAATGACACAATATTAAAAAAGAAAAGGTTATTAGGAGTATTTTGACTATTTTCTAAAGTCATGAATTCAATATTAATGCGTTCGGTCCACAGCAAAGACTTGATTTCTGTATATTATTACTTATACTGATTTTGTAAAATTTGTTTATTGTGTGCTTGACGTACTTGATTCTATATATATTGTGTGTGTAACTTATAAATAGGGTATATGTACTACGATCAGTTACAAGTTTATTTCAATGGGACGTCCTTTAACCGACGTTTTGTGACATGTTCAACAACTATAAGTACTGCAAACTGTGTTTTACAACACATGTAGTATTTAAAGGGGTACAATTTTGTCTTTGAACTTGCTTGACTTTAACTACCTGCAACTGCGTTCAGGATTCACTTGTGACTATGTGATGTACGCAATCACAGCGTTTTCAGGTGAGTATAAGTTGAACCACCATATTACGTTGACCCTGCAACTGTGCTTGCTGCTAATTAACACATTCAGTGTATGGTGCAGTGCCCACGGCTATCTGTGTGTGAATGTGTGCGTCATAAATTGCGTCTGGTAATTAATTTCAATACCTTACGTGTGGCCAGTCATGCATAGACCAATGCTTGCCTAATTCAAGGCCCCCATTTCGTCCTTTACCCTGGGTGGCAAATCACAAGTCGCCAGCTTCCGCTGGCGCCTGCAACGCCAACTATCAACTAGAAGTACAACGGACAACGTCCTTCAGGCCTCGTACAGAGTCACGTCTGCCATCACACTTCACCCAGACAGGTAACATGCAACACGAATTGATCCATGTGCTATTAACAACAGGTCGTCCAACGTCTGGGGCTGTTTAATTGCCAACTCAAATAAAGCCGATATATTCAAGAAATATTTACCAATTAGAATGGAAATGTTCCCCAATACAGCAGGTCTAACGTAATGCATCTTTGTTTTCATGATTTGCGAAGAATAGTTCTTTTATATTTGAATTTCAACTTTAAAAGTATAGTCACTTTATTTGAGGAAAGTAGCATCTGTTATCTGTTTTAGCAATAATTTGTGTCTGATCCCTATATGAACTGAAAGCCATACTAAGTTAATTCTGAAATTATTATTTATGAGGTTTTTTTGGTAACTGAATTTGAAATTTTTTTATCCAAGAAGACTCAAGATAACCTCAATGACACAGATGACTAAAATGAATACAATTATTTTAGACTGATGTTAGTAAATAGAGTGCAGTTAATGGATAAAAATATGTGTACGAAATATAAAGAATTTTCTCTAGGAAAAGTACGCTAAACGGGACGAGTCGAAGGGTTTATACTACCCGTGAAGTGTCAAAGCGGTCATACCGCTGCTTTAGACGCCTGTTATAGAGGTGATCCAGGAGCGGAGGTTGACGACGTTGGCGTATACCCCTGGCTTGCAAGGGCGAGCGCAGCCATCGCCCCAAGACACAAGGCCCACCTGCTCGCCGTCAGACACCAAAGGGCCGCCGGAGTCGCAACCACAGGCATCCTTGCCCCCGTCAGAGTAGCCAGCGCACAACATGCGAGGGGTGATACTATCGTACACCCACTTGCAGGTGTCTTCAGACAAGATGGGAACGGACACCACGCGCAGGGTGTCAGAAAAAGGACCATGCTCCTGCAAACCGCATATGTTAGCGCGCTACTGTTCATTATTCTCTTGGTGGAACCAAGGTGGCAAGATCTGCAACTCACAAAGGTTTGGCCCCAGCCGGTGACGTCGGCGAGAGTGCCAGGAGGGGGCATGCTTTTGGCTAGGCGAATACTCTGCACATTGGCGCCAAAAGTGAATTTGCCTTCGATCTAAAAAATAAAAGTATAATGTATGAAAATATTCTATATATGACGTAACAAGAGGTAAATTTAAACAACATAACAAGTTTTAAAATTAATAAATAATACAATACATATTTGAGAGGTACATTAGTTTTTCACAAATGGTGAAGATACGTAAACAAGAATTTTCCCTTCAAAGATATTTCTCTTTAAACCTTCTCTTCTGGCTTAAGGAGGCAAGCAAAATTAGAAATACATTTTTATGAAGTACCCCAAAACATGTCAAGGCAAGCAAGGATAACTTTACTAATAAATGGAACATCCAGAAATAAATGCCGTCCAATATATCCCATTATGAATTCATTCGAAGCAACGAATTCATTACCTTATTCACATGTTTTATTTTCTTGTCGCTACAAACAATTAATTTTGAAATATAATATTTGTGTTAATCGCTTTACTATTCGTGAAACCGTAGTATCTGACAAATGTACTGTAGCATTACATTTTTAAACACAATAATTAAATACTCGAAAAAAGTCAGACGTCAACAACGTTATTAATGGCACTGACTTCAATTCTTTCGTAATTTCTAATTTAATCATTAACTCGAAATATTTCCTTCTGACGCAACGTAAAAACTCGAACTGATCAATGAAGTGCAGAGATGCCATGTTAGGCGAAACTACTACAAGGAAGAAGTATTCTGACCATGGAATCCAAATATCTACGTTTTCAAATGTCGTCTTTCCGATTTAATCTATCCAATGATTGTAATTAAAAGTTACTAAAAATTAATAACTAAATAGACAATCAATGAACATTAATCAGAGATATAATGTAGGTAATTTTTATTTTGCATATTACAATTAAAAGAAAAATCGGCAAATCTGCGTTCATATTCATCAAGATCAGATCCTTGAAAGAGTCCTAGAAATTAGACTGGTCTCCAGGTCGAGAAAAACTTCGAACAAATTAATAAATATTACAGATTAATCACCTGGATGTTAGTTCTGGAATGGTTTTTCTTATTATTCATTCAAATTTTTCCTTGGCCCATAGTTGGTATAAATATATTTCATTAATTTCAAGTAGAAATAACGCAAAAACTCTTTGTTTTTCCTAAATATTGTACCTAACCTGTCTTAAAGAGCTAATTTTCTAGCACAGACATTGTCTTTGGGAAAAATGTGTATCTTTGAGTTTGTAGTATTAAATGTTTTTTTGTTTTCAAAAAATCGAGCATCACGCGAAATCATGACTTGAGCTATACTTTTTATTGTCTCTTATTACACAAATCATGAAAATTAAAAGAAAAAGTTATAAGTGGTTTTTTTATTTGACTTGAGAAAAATTTTGTTGCAAAAATTGTACTTGAATTTTTTTAAATACCTCATTGGGTACAACAGACTGACTGAGTCAAAAATCTCATCAATTCTTAAATGTTATAGTTTTTTTTCTAAAAACCGAGCAATACACGAAAAAGGGACATGCAACACATCTTTATCGCTTCTCTTTATATAAGTGACGAAAATTTAAAGAAAAAATGGAGTGCTGGTCGTAAAGAATCGTATATTTAATTTCGAATGACGCAAAAACTACTCGATGTTCAGAAAATCTGTACATGACTTTTTTAAATAGCTATTTTTTTACAACAGACGTTGTCTGAAACAAAAAATCTCTAACTTACATTTTGAAGTTTTAATTTATTTTACAATTTTCTAAAAATCGGGGATGTCAACGAAAATTGGACCTGCACAAATCTCTCAAAAGACCTTTGCACTATTTTGAAACTTTGAAAAAGACCTAGGGGCTTAATGTAAAGTATTCCCAAAATTAAATTTTCGGTTTTAAATTCCTGAGATCAGCTAGAACGATTGAGGGATATAAATTTTGGAGAAAATCTGTTAACCGTTTTTATGCTAGCGTCATGCACAGATGGATTAACAGACACAGACAGAAGTTGCAATCAATCGATTTGTCAGTACTAAGGACTCACAAAACATGGTTTCTGGCTTCACCATGTGTTAAAGGATTTTTTCTATACTTAGTAACATGATTTATTCTCTTTTTCCTTACCAGGGTCCGGCAATAAGAGTTTTTGTGTCGAAAATGTGCTATTTTTCGGCGAACAATTACAATAGTTTATCTTTTTACGTTACTAAGCGCGAAAAAGTAATAATCGTGATTGTTTATTCGTGTGTTGTGCGAGACCGGACCGTTAATGTGGTTGCGATAACATTGTCAACTTATTGCCAGCACTTGCGGAAAGTTTATTGACATAACACAATGGGAATGCGCGGTTATCTGTTGCACTCAAAATGGAGGCATTGTTGATCATGATTCAAGAGTTTATGCACCACTGAAGAAGATTGCCACCCGCCGTACCCGAGCATGTGAAGCGCGTCTTCGCTGCATATTCCGTCTCTGCGATTGTAAGTTATCGGCTGGAGTTATTTCTTAAACGTTATCTCGGAGAGTAAAAGAAATTTACCCAAACAGTGACATAGCGACTGCGTGCCCAAATATGAGGGTGAATGTTTTAACAATAGGGTAATTGGCTGCCGTATTCGATCCAGAATTCAGAACAGACTCATACCAGCGATAAAACCTATTAAAATTTTCGAAAAGCATAGTGAAACACGTGGATAACAACCACGTAATCAGTAGCGTGTGAGGTGTAATTCATTGCAATTAGCGACGCATTGCCGTGTACGTTAGTATGTGATCCATTGTACGTGAAATTGCACAAGAGGTTCACGACGATTTTTAAACGTTTGATATTTGTGAGATTTGAGTCCGTAAAGTAAGAAAAGGAAAGATTTTTGATTCTTTCATTCTCTTTGAATGCTGTAATTTCTACGACATTAGTTTAACATATCCAGAAGGTTGTTTAATTTCTTTGGGAGAATATTTTAGAAGTTTCGTCTATTTACTCATCCCTTACTAGGGTTTTATTATTAAGAAACGAATTTAGGATATTTTCCTTTTCATTATATTCTCTAAGGTCAATACCATTTTTGGTTCAAAGGTTTGGTAGTCATTTCTTAAAATCTCTTTACTTGTGGGGTTGGTTCATGGATTAGTAAAATATTCTAACCAATCTTTTGTGATGATATTAATCAAATGTACGGTGCCTCTTTTATCTGTGTTTCAATTTTTCAGAGCCTTGTAGGCCTTTGTCTGAGTGCCACTATGATCGTATTTCATAATTAAAACAGCTTTCTCTTTTTAATTCTCTCATTTCTTTTTTGCTGTATCACATTTGAATTTATATATTCGTTATTTACTTTATAAAATTGTAGATACACTTCGTTTTTACTTTATTATTTGTTTTATTTCTTGATTCCAAATATTTAGACCTCTGGTGTTCCTCCGTTTTTAATTTGTCCATAAAATTTCTTCAGCTGCTTAAATTATTAAGTTTATAAGATTCATCCATTCTTGGATTATATCAATATTAATTGCTCTGTGATTTTTTTTGTATTCTTGACCAGTGTAGTCTCCGTATACTGTCTCTTTTTAAGAGATGTACTTTAAATACTCTATGTTCTGATATCTTTGAAATATTGTAGTTTGCTAACCATGTTAGGGAAATTCTGATTTTAAATGTTAAAAGGAAAGGGCCAGAGTGTACTTTGGCACTTTTGTATACACGTGTCTAATCTAATACGTTCGACGTCATTTTTTGATTAGCAACTATAAACCGTAGTCAATCAAAGATTTGGAACCTCTAGATGCCCACCTGTTTTATGTACTTCTTTGTGTTTATAGAGCTTCTTCATATTTGTTATTTTTAGTTCATGTAAAACTGGAAAATTCGTTAATGCTTTCCCATTTTTATTTAATATAGTTTCTCCGTGTGCACCCAATATATATCCCATTGGCTTGTTACCTACTCTAGCATTAAAATCGCCACTTAACATTACATTACACAGTCATTTCTGTTAGTACATGGGTTGCCAAATTCATTGAAAGTTGGCGCCACGCTTCGAATAACCCAGTTTCGCTACACTTCGATGGCGTTTTAGAAGAAAAGATGATACATTTCAAACTTACTTCTCGGAGATAGTCTAATCTAGTTAAAAAAACGCGCAAATCACTTCCTAATTAAACAAATACTCAATTGTTGTACAAAGTTCTATTTGAAATGGAATGTTAACTGGTTCGAAAATTCACTAATAGATTGCACCACCTCCTAGGTGGCCAAGACCAAAAATTAACACATTGTCGGATTTCCCGGAATATAATTTCTTCACACCTGAGGCGACGAGCTCGCATTGTTCGAAAGTCAGGAGAGCTGCCGGCAATTTCGAAGCAATCGTACAGAGAAGGAATGTGCAACGCGCATAGAAAGCTTAATTCAGTTCTTTGTCACTTTCCAGCGCGTTTTTGCAGTGTCCATGACCTCCGACTCCAAAGCGCGGCAGGAAAGAGCGTGCATAAGCACCAAGCGGCAACCTTGACAATATCTTTAATACTCATTGATTCTTTCGCAAATCCATGTTAATATGTCAATCTATGCGAAGATCGACGCTGCCGAAAGAACAGTGGTCCCATTGTGCACGGTACTGAGTGAGTGAACACTTGAATAACGTCTGTTTTTATATTCGTCAATCAAGATAGCCGATTTAGCCTTGCACTAGCAATAAGATAATGAAAATATGTGGCTCTATCTAGTACAAGAAGGAACTTAAGTCCCAGGGCACAATATAAATATTCCAGTGGCCACGCCGTTTGTGCAGAAAATATCATTATTGTAAAATTTGTTTTGAACACAGTGTGGATCTCCGGTAAATACATGATAGATGTACGGAAATTATACTCACATATATAGAGAAAGGACGGGATTGTAACACTAAGGCGTTCAGCTTTGTGTGCTCATCCGCGAAAGTTCCATGTTGATATACTCTACGATTCCGATACCTTAATTCATTTAGCCTCGTTCTTAGCATTTTTCGTCATATAAGACGAGGTCAGGAAGTATCTTCGGGGATTGTCAGTAGTTTTGGCTCCCCTGGCCGCGT